AAAGTTATTAGTCGTGGCCTTGATTTATGACCTGTATTCACCCAAACTAAACTACGTGATATTATCCCCCCTCCATCCCTAATTTTATTCAGTATCATAGAATATCTTAGAAAATTAACGCTGGATTGAGACACGTCATTATGTTATTTCCTATAATTTTCGTGATTCATTTAAGCTTACTAGAATAATTAAGATGTCTTCGTCTTTATACGAAACTAAACCTTTCCATTCCATTCAGTTCAACTTTATCTAGCTGATACTTGCTTAAACATGACTTTTGGGCAGTACACACACCAAAACCTTATATTTGAATTCTTGTGTAAAACCCACACCAGTTAGTCTCGTTTATTGACATTCCTTCAAGTATAATTGAAAAAAAAAACATTTGTAGGATATTAAAATAGAGGTTATTTCATAATTACGAACTGTTCAAACCTCACTTTGTTTGTATAAATATCACATATTTTGAAGAATAGCTCGTGTTACGATTTCATTTCGATCAACTGTTATAAAACATAGCGGAATGCCGTAACAACCAAGTTCTACCTGACATCTGAAACGTTTTATAGAACTTTACCTGAGCACAGAGCATGAATGTTAAGTAGTTGGTTTATTTCAGAATCGCGCAAGTCTACAAAAACGTCTGTCTGCGCATAGCTGTACTTAATTTTGAACTATTCCAAAGCGCTCGAGTTTTGGGTCTGGTTTGAAAACCATTACAGCTTTTATATGTGATCTTGTGTGCTAACTTCTTAATCAGAACTTAATTTTGAACTGCTAGACTAGAAAACAGTACCCACCGCCAACTCTTGGGCTACTTTTGTGTGACTAAATAATGATAATTGATTGTTTCTTGTTAAGCATACCTTAAGCAAATATTTTTGACGCAGCTGCTTAAAAAAGTGATAGAGCAAAAAAGACAACGCAGAATTTTATTTTTCTGTTTTCAACATCAGACATTTTTGTACTGGAACACAAAAGAGATAAATATAATAAATCGGAAAATGACAACTTATGTAAATATGTTTTGTGTGTGTATATATATAAGGTCATCCATCTGTTAGGTCCCTGTTAAAAAGATAATATCGTTTATCTAACCTTTAACTTTTTAAGCAGCTGAAAGGATAAACGTGTTAATCTTTATCTCAAATGTAATTCCTATACGTTAATTTTGAAAACGTTTGCTTCAATTCTCTGATATAATCTTCAGATATTATATTTGACATTTCTGCTTTCTAGATAAGAAAATAAACTCGATTTGCATTTTGTTTGTTTGTTTGTTTCTAATTCGGTATAAAGCTACACAATGAGCTATCTGTGCTCTGCCCACCACGGGTATCTAAACCCGGTTTCTAGCGTTGTAAGTCCGCAGACATACCGCTGTGTCACTGGGGGGCAGGACGAAAAGTTTGTTTGTGTTGTGTGTTTATCTTATAGCAAAGCCACATCGGGTTATCTGCTGTGTCCACCGAGGGGAACAGAACCCCTGATTTTAGCAGTGTAAATCCGAAGACTTACTGCTGTCCCAGTGGGAGACAGGACGAAAAGAGTCACAACTGTGTTTTAAAATGAAACTTACGTCATTTGGTCGCCTGATATCTGGAAGGTACCATCATATGCACCAAAAATTGTCTTTATTGTTAACTAGCTTTTAGCTCTTCAGAGTTGGTTTAAAATACAGCTTATCCATCCTTAGCGAGTACTTACTTAAGTACTCGATAAAGTACTCGAGTTACCAAAAATATTATTTATTGGCTTAAAAGATAACAGAGAGAGAGAGAGAGATGGGGAACTACCATAGGCACACACACACATATATATATATAGCATTATAAATGTAAGAAGTCTAAATTGTCTCCTATGACAGAATACAAAGAGAATTACAGAAGATCAAGACAGTTTGTTAAACAGGAAATTAGAAAACCGAAAATAATACATAAATAAGGTCGACAGAAAATGTAAAGATTAAAAGTATCGATTTCTTGTTGTTGTTAACTACATTAATGGTAAGCAAATGTTAGAATGGGAGCAGGATTTTTCATGGATGGTAAAGTAAGTCTCACATCTGATGACTATGAAATGATTGTTATTAAATTCTATATTTGTCTTAAATTTATACTAATAAAGATTTAAGCAATATTCCTCACCCTGAACAGTTGCTAGATGGAAACGAGATTACCACATTTATTCTGAGTTTGTTAAGAAAAAAAATCGAAGCTTTAAAGAATGATAAAGCTTCTGAGCGAGATAATATTTTTTTCCAAAGATTTTTAACATACTTTAGCTTGTTTGAATTTTGCGTACCTAATTTAGCAGTGAAAGACTAGAGAGAAGGCAGCTAGTCATCACCACCAACCGCCAGCTCTTGGGCTACTCTTTTACCAACGAATAGTAGGATTGACCGTCACAGGCTGAAAGGACGAGCATGTTTGGTGGGACGGGGGATTCGAACGCGCTAACTACCTGGTCATGCTGGGCCACCTATTAAATGATCTAAGCGTTTTATTCAAAATATATTGAAGATATATTAGAACAATTTTTTTTAAGTTTTCCATGGGTCCTATATTTTTTTTTTATCCTTTACACGTGTTTGGAATGAGATTGATTTAAAGACTAAGAAGAATCAAACTCTAGTGGAAAAATTACACACACTTTCATCATGCCAAAAGCGGGTTTAGTAACTGAATTTTGACATTACGGTTATCTTTCAACACTAAAACTCATTTTGACTGTTTGTATTGATGCTATCAGTTTTAAGTAAATCGCACGCTCTGTTTGGTTCTCAAACTTGTTGGGAACCTTAAGCAAAGTTGAGGAATGACTAATATCCACAAACAAATTATTCTGACTAATGAGAAATTTATCAAAAAGGTCAGGTGCAATGATAAATTCTGAAGTTTCTAAATTTTTTCGTATAATTTAAGCAAGTTAAGCGTAACAATACTTGAAGTCAAAATTTTATCCTAATCTCTGCGTTAAATTTAAACGTTTTCTTTTCTACGTGACAGAAATGAGCCAAGAAATTCTTTTGAAATGTATGTTGGTAATTTACAATAACAGTCTTATATTATAAGGTGTGGTTCGTTTTGAATGTCGCGCAAAGCTACGCGAGGGCTATCTGCGCTAGCCATCCCTAATTTAGCAGCGTAAGACTAGAGGGAAGGCAGCTAGTCATCACCATCCACCGCCAACTCTTGAGCTGCTCTTTTACTAACGAATAGTGGAATTGACCATCACAATATATCGCCCCCACGGCTAAAAGGGTGAGCAGGTTTGGGTTTTAAAAGGAAATGAACAAATCTGTCTGTGTCAGGCAGTTATTTTTTCGGGGGGGGGGGGTATGACTGGCATGGTAGTTCAGTGTTATAGACAATTAACCAAGTAGGACACCTTTATTTTTATTTACTTTAGCCTTCAGATATATAAGAAATTCCCTTTTTTTCAACATAAATCGTACAGTTTTTATCAACATAAATCGTACCATGTGTTGAGGATATATATATATATATAATTAAAAGCGTACACTAATGACGAAAGTGATTCATAAATTCTATATTCAGACTTAAACGATACCTGTCTTTAATTCACTTGACCTTAAATTACCAAACCAGCTAGTAAGAATGAGTTACGTTTGACAAAGGCAGCGTGAAGTTTTGTTTTGGCTGTTAATTTTTTATTTGAAAAAAAACAAAAACATTCATGTTCTACAGGAATGTTTTCGCGCTAAATCATAATAAGAATTCAGGACTTATATGCGTTGCGGGTATTTAGATCTCATGAAATTTTTGTATGAATGTGCACCAAAGCGTTAACATTATAATTTTCTTTCAACTTTAGGAGAAAAATAAAAACAAAAACAGTTACATATATTCTGTATTACTTGATTCTTTGCTTGATTATTATAAGTTGATTAACAATACAAAAACAAAATTTACATGTAATGTATATTTCATGTTAGGCCTAATTTTTAGTATAGGTACTGAGGAAAAATGCCGTACAAATATTGTACAAATACAAATACAGTTACATATATTCTGTATTACTTGATTCTTTGCTTGATTATTATAAGTTGATTAACAATACAAAAACAAAATTTACATGTAATGTATATTTCATGTTAGGCCTAATTTTTAGTATAGGTACTGAGGAAAAATGCCGTACAAATATTCACGGAACTGGGTGTTTAATTAAAATATTGACTATTTCTTGCTCGTTACAATCTTTAAACAAATATTAAGACGAAAGTGATTTTCCCCCCGAAAATACAGCAATAGGAAGAAGTAATAAACACTCACCTTCTGTTCTGTAGGTCTTGAGAAGATCGGGATCGGTGCGAGACGATCTCCCGTGAAGTTCGTCAGGGATCGGTTGCAGCAGTTCATCCAGTTTCCCATTTTCGGTACTTGGCGTTAAGTTACAATGCTGGAGAATATCTGTGACCTCAGCAAAGTCGATACTAGCTAAATCATTGTACAGTAGGGTACGTTGATCGTGGGTCAGCGACGGCCAAAATTTCAGCAGATGTTCTTGACCATAACGAGCTAGGTTCTCCTGCAAGGTCTTTATGTCCATGTCTGTGAGAATGGAGACCATAAAGTATCTTAGTACGTGACGTCTGAAACTGAAGAATGTGCCATTGTTTTTTGTTTAAAACGAATGTATAAAGTTTCAGTATAATTTTGATTACTGATAAAGTTTAATAGATGCACTTGGTAACAGTTAGTTTAGAGATGCGCAATTCCATAACTAACGCCAGATTTGATTTGGAACCCACTCCAAAATTCGCAAAGTTTTAATACAAAACTATAGCTAAACTATAGGAGAAACTGCACAAAGTTTTCAGACAAAACATGACTATACCAAACTAAACTATAGCAACAACTGCAAGCTTGTATACAAACAATGATACACTTTCTTTAAAAATGAAACTGAACTTTTTTAACGTAGAGAAAACTAATCCCGAAACAACTGGAAAATTGTATTCTCAGATTGTCCCAATTATTCAAACTTCCTTACCTTCCGACTCTATATGATCATAAATAAAACGTAATTAGTATTTCTTTTTGATTACCTTTTCTACAGCAGAAAGGCACAAAAGCGTTCAGTCGATGTAATGTAATTTTTCAAGACTGACCAGATTCTCGTGAAATCGAAAAAGGTACTACCTCCCCAGGGACTAACTAGTAAGCGAATGGGAAGTAAGTGAAGTCACAAGGCCGCTGGAATGCCGCCGAACTGTGTCATGCCCTGATTAAATCCTTGTTAGACCTGAAAGCAGACTAAGATTTTATCCAGAACTACATTAGCCTACGAATATACCTGTAACCTAACTCGAAATTTGTAGTTATCATGGACTCAACGAAAGTACAAGTAACGTTAACGTGGAAATAAATGAACGTCGCGTGCGATTTGGAACAGAATTTCACTTTTCATTTATGAAAGTTTCTACAAATAAATCAGAAAAAGGTATCCTTAAGGTGTCAAGAACCGCTTTGATAGGTTATGCTTTCATAAAGTGATGACGATTGTATGATAAAGTCCTTCTGTTGGTCAGTGGTAAGTTCACGGACTTACAGCGCTTAAATTCGGGGCTCGATTCCCTGCGATGGACAGAGTAAAGATAGTCCATTGAATACTCTTGCGCTAAAAAAAAAGTCGGATTACATTAGGAAAACAATTTTTTTCCAATAAAATCTCTATGTATACGTTATCATCAAACGTAAGTACACTGAGACAGTGAGGGTCAGCAGATTTTAAAAACGAGAACACTACATGTCGTTCATGTAACCGTTTAAAACTTCTGGTTGGCTAATGTGTGTGTGTTTATGTAACTGTTTAAAACTTCTGGTTGGCTACTGTGTGTTGTGTTTATGTAACTGTTTAAAACTTCTGGTTGGGTGTGTGTGTGTGTTTATGTAACTGTTTAAAACTTCTGGTTGGCTAATGTGTGTGTGTGTTTATGTAACTGTTTAAAACTTCTGGTTGGCTAATGTGTGTGTGTGTGTGTGTGTATGTTTATGTAACTGTTCAAAACTTCTGGTTGGCTAATGTGTGTGTGTGTGTGTGTATGTTTATGTAACTGTTTAAAACTTCTGGTTGGCTAATGTGTGTGTGTGTTTATCTAACAGTTTAAAACTTCTGGTTGGCTAATGTGTGTGTGTGTTTTTTTTGTTCTTTTCAGCTATATGAAAAAGAATGTCTATTTTTATGATTCTTATTGAGGGTTAACGATTACAGTAAAAGTTTGTACTGAAACTTGTGTCTGTGTGTACAAATATAGGATGTCGGAGTACATTTTGGTAAAGATATAAAGACAAGCACATTAGTTTTATTTCTCTAAATAATAACTTTGGAGTAAAAAGTAATTTTTGATATTGTTACTAATTCACAAAAAATATTGAACTTGTTTTGAAGCACATCTATTAAAACAGAGAAAATGAATAAAAAGAAGGAGGCGTTAAATAATTCTTTCAATATCAAACACGTGGAGTAACGACTTGGTCGTTGGTTGTTGTTCCTGGTTATTTCAATGTTAAACTCGTGGAGTAATGACTTGGTTGTTGGCTGTTGTATATCGTTATTTCAATGTTAAACACGTAGAGTAACGACTTGGTCGTTGGCTGTTATACATCGTTATTTCAGTGTTAAACACGTGGAGTAACGACTTGGTCGTTGGCTGTTATACATCATTATTTCAGTGTTAAACACGTGGAGTAACGACTTGGTCGTTGGTTGTTATACATCATTATTTCAGTGTTAAACACGTGGTGTAACGACTTGGTCGTTGTTTGTTGTACATAGTTATTTCAATGTTAAACACGTGGAGTAAAGACTTGGTCGTTGCTGTTGTACATGGTTCTTGTACGTGGGAGATAAGATCAACATGTATGGAAAGTTAATTGGTCAAAATGTTGACCAGATCTGTTTCTAAAGTTGTTGTTTTTTTAAACAAAAATCGTAAATTAAGTTTTACCCCATTGCGCAGCAGCTGTACTTGTTTATTGACGTATCAAATAAACGTAAACATTTTAGATCGCTGATGGTGGAATGAGGAAGTTCCGAAACGTCAAGATTTAAAATGTTTTGTTTTACCGGTTTTTAATGAATAGATTTGTTTTCAACAAGTGTAAAGAACTGCGCACAGTTAACTAAACTAACGTGTCATATTTGGTAAAAAATACGTTTCTGTTACTGCTTTTATTGTAGTTTATTGGTACACGAAGGGCCGCATTAACCGTGGCGTAGTTGAGCCAGGGCCCCAAGCGGTGAGGGACCCCTACTAACGATTCGAACCGTCAGTTTAACTCTGTCTTTTTTCTATAAATCTTCATAATTTATCTGTTATTTGTTCTATCCTTAATCAATACAGACGAGATCAATTTGACCAACTTCGTAACCACCATAAAAAATACGAAATTAGTCAAAATTATCTATTTTTATTTCTAGAATTGCTTCAAATCGTAGCAGGAAACAAAATTTCTTTATACTAAATAGTTTAAAGCTTCTTAACCTTATACAACTGTTTATAATTAAATTTTATTGATTTATTGCCTTTTGTAGCGTAATTTTTAAAATTCCCGCCATAAGAAGTGTCAAAATACGCGGTAACATGAAGCATATGTTACTCTAACCAAGTTACATAAACGCTCCCACTATGTTGGCAAGTTACAAATGTGTTTGGAAAATCGGCTTGCTGCATATAAAGCGACAGAAATGAAGTTTGGATTTCTATTTAATTGTTTGTTTGTTTTGGCATTTCGCGCAAAGCTACACGAGGGCTATCTGCGCTAGCCGTCCCTAATTTAGCAGTGTAAGACTAGAGGGAAGGCAGCTAGTCATCACCACCCACCGCCAACTCTTGGGCTACTCTTTTACCAACGAATAGTGGGAGTGACCGTCACATTATAAATCCCCCACGGCTGAAAGGGCGAGCATGTTTGGTGGGATGCGGATTCAAAACCGCGACCCTCAGATTGTGAGTCGAGCGCCTTACCCACCTGGCCATGCCGGGCCTTCTATTTAATTTCAAAAATTTAAACGAGACTGATATTTTTGCTGCAGCTAAAATATTGGAAGATATATACTCTCCAGATCTAGACAGCTCTTTTCCCGATGAAATGATACAGTTTACGAATTATTTTGATAGCGAAACACCATCCGTCCAACAATGCATCAAAGCAATCAGAAGAAAACAAACTCGAATCTGTTTTTCCTAATGTTGACGTGGCATTAAGAATATACTTGTGCCTACCCGCCACGAATTGCAGTGCAGAGAGAGTTTTTTCTAAAATGGCTAGATTGAAAAAATGAATTGCGTGCTTAGATGTTAAATAAACGCTTAGATGCCCTTTCCTTGCTCACGCTAGGAAGGACATTGCTTAGGCAAATAGATTATGAAGATGTAATTAGAGATTTTGCTTCCGCCAAAGCAAGGAAAAAAAAAACGATTTTAGGGTAACGTTTTGGCATGCTTCCGTAATGTTGTACAATAACTATATTGTTTTTTTATCTACCTAATTCATTCTTCCTTGCCATGTTGAACAAGTAAATAATTATTATTATTATTGTTTAATTTTAATATATCATTCTTAAAAGTTACTTGGATCATATTCTAATTTACTTCGAATAATTAGTTCATATTCTATAATTAACTTAATACGTATTAATTATAATTAACTTCAAATTTGCTTGTACCTTATTGAAGGGGCCTCAAAAAATAAGTGCGCCAGGGCCTCAACTACCTTGATGCGGGCTTGGGTACACGTCAAACGTAGAGATCTTTTGAGGTTAACTGTTTTCAGTAACAGAGTCTTGTACATCCATAGCATTCCGCTTCCTTACTCTGACGCATTAACTTTTAACCTCGAAATATACGTGACTCACTCAAACAATCTACGTTATCTTTCAATTATGGTATATATATATACGTAACTGAACTTGACCCTCTTTATAGTTAAAATATACTTACTTTAAATCTTTGGACTTACCTTATAAATATCCAAATATACTCTGTTGCAGTAACATACAAATCACTACACACTCTGTAATTCTGGCTAATCTGCAGCTAATGAAAGGCCGGTTTTAGGTATTGTGCTGTCTTATAGGCCCTCTTTATAGTTAAAATGTACTTACTTTAAATCTTTGGACTTACCTTATAAATATCCAAATATACTCTGTTGCAGTAACATACAAATCACTACAAACTCTGTAATTCAGGCTAACCTGCAGCTAATGAAAGGCCGATTTTAGGTATTGTGCTGCCTTATAGGCCCTCTTTATAGTTAAAATGTACTTACTTTAAATCTTTGGACTTATCTTATAAATATCCAAATATACTCTGTTGCAGTAACATACAAATCACTACAAACTCTGTAATTCTGGCTAATCTGCAGCTAATGAAAGGCCGGTTTTAGGTATTGTGCTGTCTTATAGGCCCTCTTTATAGTTAAAATGTACTTACTTTAAATCTTTGGACTTACCTTATAAATATCCAAATATACTCTGTTGCAGTAACATACAAATCACTACAAATTCTGTAATTCAGGCTAACCTGCAGCTAATGAAAGGCCGATTTTAGGTATTGTGCTGCCTTATAGGCCCTCTTTATAGTTAAAATGTACTTACTTTAAATCTTTGGACTTACCTTATAAATATCTAAATATACTCTGTTGCAGTAACATACAAATCACTACAAACTCTGTAATTCAGGCTAACCTGCAGCTAATGAAAGGCCGGTTTTAGGTATTGTGCTGCCTTATAAGCAGGATTTTAAAATGTCGTCCTTGGCGGAATCTCTGTATCATTACCTTCGATAAACGTACCTATAACATCATAACTGATTCGCAGACTTTAGTTTGTTTGTTTGTAGTTAAGTACAAAACTGCATGATGGGCTATCTGTGCTCTGCCCACCACGGGTGTCGAAACCCGGGTTCTAGCGTTTTAAGTCCACAGACGTATCGCTGGGCCAATAGGGGGCTGCAACCTCTAGTAAACTCTTACTTTTAACGGGACCATCTGTGTTTTTTTTCGAACTTTTTAGATTTTGAAGAATTGTATTTTACTCGTCTATTTTATTTATCATTATTATTTGCAAAGAGATATATATAAGATGCTTATTTAATTTCTAGTTTCTTGAATTTATAGATACTTCTTTTATATTTAAATCGATTATCTTACGTTACAATGTCTCAGTTTCCAAGTCTGTAAGACACGGCAAAGGGTATAAAGTGAGCGCGAGATAGCTGATTCTAATTTAAAGTGAAGTTAATATAAAAACGTTTATTGATTTTCCCGCCCTAGGTAGTTGCCTACCCACCAAAGCCGGACTTGCAACAATGCCTTTATTGTCGTTAATTAACTTCTGATCAAAACATGCCGTTACGTACAGATCACAACTATTAACCCAGTAAAAAAACTATCTAATCTATTATACCGTTCTAAATTATGATACATTAATCCACCAATAACAGAATACATTTTGGAATTAGCAGTAAGATTTTATACATTCTGGCGTAATTTTTATTCGAATGGTCAGTGAGATGAGGTGTTTATCAAATTCACTTCAGAATACTCATTAAGATTACTTCTTTCATAATATTCTGCAGTAGCTTAAGCGAACGTCTTGAATATATTGTTACGACAGCGGAAGTCACGTGACTCTGGTAACACGTGATGAGGTTCTAGAAAGATTATGACTTTTCCTGGCAACTCTAGTCTGTTCCAGGCGCCCTCTTTTATTAGTATATAAGCCTAGCAAATAAAGCGGAGAGGAGGAATTGGATAGATAGAGAGACTGAAGATAGAGATAATCGAGTCAAGCCGTAAGTAAAGTGTGTGAATCCCTGTGACTTATAGCGTGTTTTTATAAAATTAGTTAAGTTTAAAGTGACGGCGGAAATTCTGTGTATTACAAAGTTGTATCAAGAAAGAATAAACTAGTTTTAATTAAGAAAGGACTTGTATCGCTGAAGTTCCTCGGAAAGAATTTATACCGGAAATTAACAAACGAGCAGAGACGTAACAATATCATATAGTATTTTTAAATCAATATCAACGAAACGTTGTCTTTTGCACATGAAAGCTTTTAAACATATTGTACATATAAATGTGTTCTCTTGTGCAACTGGACAGAAAAGGTAAAAGTTTCACCGTGAAACGTTAATTTGAAGAAAGAAATCCACTTCTGATAAATCCACCCTCTTTCTCCGAGAAGCTGAGCGAATCCTGTCATTGTTCCTATTCTGTTATTTACTGTATGAATTATTTTGTTTACATACTACAAAGAAATCTTCTTAATAAGACAGATATTGCCTAAAATCTGAAAATTTTTGTCACTGCCGTTATAGGTGTATAGCAGGCAGTTGAAGTCTGGTTTATTGAAATGCATGTCACAAAACACCGAAAACATATATACCAAATTAAGGCAAATAAAATGACTCAAATCAACTATTTTGTTCACTCATTTCGTAAAAAAAAATAACACAACCTATAATTTCAAAAAATATTTTAGGCTATTCAGCAGCACTACACTCAATATATTACCATATAAATATGTTATCAGATCGAGTTATCGGTAGTAATTCTCAAGAAAGAAGGTTTCATTTATTTCGAAAAATGACAATGAACCTTAAGATTTTTATATAGCGTTCGTGACTTACTGTCATCAGTTATAATAACACTTGTTTACCATTCATGACTTGATGTTTTTTGCTTCCTGTTCACATTTCTTAGTCAAACCCATCATGATAGCATAATTCCACAATCATCTTTAAAAGATAAATTCAATCAATCTAGAGAGTTTGTTGAGTTTATAACCCTTGAGTGCTTATTTTAATCGCCTACATGTCACAAGATGGCACTAGTTACAGAATATCAGGACTAAAGAGCACGTATTAGGATAGAACCTATAATAAAATGTCAAATATTATTCATTATTTTGGCATAAGAGTGATAAAAGCTTGAAATTGAAAGTATATGAGATAGCAAACCCTAGTACCCATCTCCTGGTTCAACAAAACTTACAATAATTTTTACACAGCTATTCTGTATAACATAACAGTTTTAAAAATCTGGAAACTATAAATTCAAATATCATAGTTGGTTCACCTGACAAGTAACTAGTTAAAAAGTAAAGACAAATCTTTATTATATCTTTCGACGTCGACAGTACATAGTGTCTTCATCAAGTGTGTCCGTTTTTGTTTTTATTATCGCAAAGTTGGACAATCAGCTGTGTTCGCAGCAGTGATCGAATTCTGAATTTTAGCGTTATGGACAAACAAGCATATCGTTTAGCCATGCCACCAGGAGTCCTTCCTTTGCCCTCTAAGTAGGGAAATACTAGGTATTTATGTTTTCTCATAGCCACAGCGGGCTATCTGCTGTGTCCATTGAGAAGAATCGAACACCTGATTCTACCGCTGTAAATCCGAAGACTTACTCTGTCTCACGGGGGGACGCACTACTAGGTGTCCAAACTTTATGCTTTTAAGTGTTTATTTCTTTGACATATTAGTAAAGTAATTTCAAGCTATTTTGTACACTAATAAGCACGTGTAACGTTTATAAAAAAAACATTAAATTCCTGCTATAGAATTTGTTTGTTTTTGAATTTCGCGCAAAGCTACACGAGAGCTATCTGCGCTAGCCGTCTCTAATTTAGCAGTGTAAGACTAGAGGGAAGGCAGCTAGTCATCACCACCTACCGTCAGCTCTTGGGCTACTCTTTTACCAACGAATAGTGGGATTGACCGTCACAGGCTGAAAGGACGAGCATGTTTGGTGGGACGGGGGATTCGAACGCGCTAACTATCTGGTCATGCCGGGCCACCTATTAAATGATCTAAGCGTTTTATTCAAAATATATTGAAGATATATTAGAACAATTTTTTTAAAGTTTCCCATGGGTCCTATATTTTTTATCCTTTACACGTGATTGGAATGAGATTGATCTAAAGACTAAGAAGAATCAAACTCTAGTGGAAAAATTACACACACTTTCATCATGCCAAAAGCGGGTTTAGTAACTGAATTTTGACATTACAGTTATCTTTCAACACTAAAACTCATTTTGACTGTTTGTATTGATGCTATCAGTTTTAAGTAGATAAATAGCACGCTCTGTTTGGTCCTCAAACTTGTTGGGAACCTTAAGCAAAGTTGACGAATGACTAATATCCACAAACAAATTATTCTGACTAATGAGAAATTTATTGACCGTCACATTATAACGCCCCTACGGGTGAAAGGGCGAGCATGTTTGGTGGGACGGGGATTCGAACCCGCGACCCTCAGATTGCGAGTCGAGCGTCTTATCCACCTGGCCATGCTGGGGCCCTGCTATAGAAATAAGGTTTCGCAAAAATAGAGTTTTAGATGATCGTCCTTTCAGCCGTGGGAGAGCAATAATTCGAGGTCCAATCCCATTTTTCGTTGGTATAGAGTAGCCCAAGAGTTGGCGTTGGGTGGTGTTTACTAGCTGTATTTCTAAGCTAGGGATGGTTAGTGCAGATAGTCTTGCGCTAAATTAAACAAAACAAACAAAACTTTTCTAGTTAGTATACGTTCTATTTGCTTCACTACTGCCTTCCTGACAAAGTTATCGGCTTTACTAAAGAATAAAGCTATTTTTTGCTATTAATAACACTCTTTAGAAAATACTCTTTCTACAATACTCTAACAGCGAAGTGCTAATTATTTTGCTTACCTCTATACTCCTATCTGTTCAATAGTATACAAACAAGGTCACGACAGTGATCAAACTAGAGCACTAGCATAAACGTTTCTGATAATCGAGCAGTTTCTGATTTACTTATAACACTTTGTGATTGGATTAATCTGGAAGTCGCTTAAAATATTTGACAACTCCACCCTCATGTAATGACGTCATAGGGAAACAACTATGCAAATAAACTGATATGTTCGTGCTTCAACTGTATCTTATATAACACCCGATAATACGAGATAATTGAACAACTGTTAATCTCATAATGATATTGAAAAACTTTGAACCTAATACTTGATATACGTTTTTCCAGCATTCACTATTCGTAGATGCAGTTTTCCAAGAAAAGACCTTTCAGCCGTTGGGGCGTTATAATGTGACGGTCAATCCCACTATTCGTTGGTAAAAAGAGTAGCCCAAGAGTTGGCGGTGGGTGGTGATGACTAGCTGCCTTCCCTCTAGTCTTACACTGCTAAATTAGGGACGGCTAGCGCAGATAGCCCTCGTGTAGCTTTGCGCGAAATTCCAAAACAAACAAAGAATCGCATTACCATGTCCCTGGCTGCACATTTCCATCTTACCTTGGGAGACATCATCAGCACTGGAACTGTTTAACTGTGGGTGGTAAGTACTTTATCTTTGCAGGGGTTTTTATTGCATATTTGGATCCTGCTCATTGACAAGTATTGCCTGACCAGGTGTTCTTTGTCTTAAATCTGCACTGTACGATTTGTGATCGTATACCATGCTACATGACTGTGACGTTAAGGCTCTTTCTACAGCAGACCTGATGTACTATTCCAGATGCTGCCAGGTATTGGTTGATCAACTGCATCGAGGTGTCCTATATGCATCAAAATACAATATCATAACACATAAGAAGGTCAAGTTATAAACACTGTTGATATGGGGGTGTTTCACAAGACTGCTCATAGATATACCTCATGGTCTATTACTTCATAAATATATTCTTTCCAGACTGTACACTCATGGACTAACATCAGTAAAGCAAACAGAGATTACTGCCCATCTCTGATGATCCATGGCATTGAGGCGCTGCCTACCATGCCAGTAGATGTTGTTTGATTGACTGCATCAACATGATTGCACTGCTTTTCAAAATACGGTATTGCAGTTACCAATTGCAGTGTCTCTGGTACTGTGGTCCCACAGACTCCCCAACACATTTTCTGTCCTTCTAGTGGAGTATGGGAGTTCTTGCCACTTACCAGTTCCTAGCCATTGGGTTGGTGGACCATGGAGGCCTGTCCTCCTGATTATGCACAATATCACTCAGTTGAGAGTAGGACAGTGGCATTTTGCTGGTATAGATGGCAAGACACCATTCCTACCACAAACCTGATGCATATTTCCAAATGCACTTCACCATATATTGCAATTTGCCCTTCTAGCTGAGGCACCCTCCTTTCTACCATCTGCCAAATGTTGATTCCCAAGATGTTGGTGTTGATTGGAGCCGGACCAACCACATAAGTCCTCAGATGTGTTTGGATAATATCCTCCTTCTACTGTGGACTGAATGATAATTCCCCAATTCTGCCAGGTTTTGGACTGGACATGCAACCACAAATAGCAGCCCCTATTTCTGCCATCTCCTGGATGTAAGTTCCTGGTGGATTTGGTGTTGGTTGTAGATGGACAAGACACTTGAAATCCTGCATGTATAAGGCTTGGTGCTCTCCTTCTACCACAGACTGGACGGAAAATTCCCAATAGCACCAGGTTATGGACTGGAGAAAAACACCAATCTGGGCCCTCTATCATCCTACCTTTTGCCAGATGCTGGTTCCCAGTGGATTTGGTGTTAGAGGTGCGTGCGTATGGAGGCAGGATTTTGATAAAGAAGCTCCTCTTCCATACCGGGAACCGTTTCTAAAGGTGAAAGGTAGAGGAACTTCTTCCTACTGAAGACCTGGTGTACAATTTCAGATGCCATCATATGTTGGATGAGGTCAAACTCCCATTTACAGTCTGTCGTGCCATAGCCTCTCAACACCCGGGGTTCTTAAATATATTTCAGTAATTTTTTCTTTGTGTTCCTCCATGTTTCCACCCTTTTTTGGTGACACATTACTAAAGAGAGAAGAGTATACAGGGCTCAGAAGTGGTGCAATCACCCATGGATGTGTTGTTTTTAATTTCTTCTCACACCCCATATTTTCCTTTGGATGCTTCCTGAAGGAGGATCATCTTTTCACCGGCCCTCCACCAGTTCAATGTGGGATTCTAGCTTTTTGGGAGTAGAGGTAAGATATCGTATCGGAAATTAACACTTTCTTAGACTGAAAATGTATTTCCGATAGATACTTACCTCCTTTCACATTTTCACCTATCCCCCCTTGTGGTGTGGTTTGGTGTGATCTGACCAATATTGAAGTGGTTAACAGCTGCAAGATTAGAAAGGGCGGTAGTTATGATAGGGGTAGTGTCACAGTCCTTTTGGTGGAAGGCTTCTGCATAATAATTTCCATGTTAGTTTGCAGAAATAAGTGGTATATCAAGACCAGTGGATAGCGAAAATTTGCGCCTATGGAGAGCAGTATAAGTCGAGAAAGCTTTTTGTGAGGGAGGTAACTGTCTATCAGAAATACATATTCAGTTTCGTAAAATGTTAACTTTGCCGAGAAAAAGGGAGTCTGCATCAACACTATTTTTCATATTAGCTATTTTGTGAGATATAATGTTACACAAATAGTTATTGTTCAGTTCTTTATTTAATTAATTCTGCATGGTTTAAGGCCCACAGAGAAGCTTCGGGCAACATGAGATTCATTTTATTTACTGCATAAAAGCTTAAATATAAGTAAACTTATCTGAAAAATTCAACTGATTTTTCTACAATGTAAATATCTGTTGCCCTAGAGCCAGCATGAAAATACAGATATAATACATTATTTGGAATTTATTATTATTACTTTATTGACCAAAATTTAAGGTAGTATTTAATCTAAGGTGACCTTACATTTCGAAGATGGGTTGTTTTTGTTTCATATTTTGTGTTTATTTCTCTTTAAGCAATGATATACGTTAATAAAAAAAATGCCCCAGTTGCAATATTTGTATAATATCCCTCAATTTTTCAGAACACCTACGCTAATCACTTGCCTGGGAATATCAGTACGTTATTTATTATAAAATGATGTATTTCTACTAGGAATAGAATGCAGTTTATCAAACTGTTTGACTAATTTATGTGTTGCATTGCAATGCTAAGATTTGTACATTAAGGTTTGTGATCAGTAATATCATATTATGTTATCTCCTGTGTATTCGGAACATATATATAAGCTTAAAAATAAGGTTTTGTTTGGTACTCAATCTGCATGTCACAGTTGCAGATTACTTATCAGTAAAAATTACTTGCTTGTCCTTTAACAATATAGGAAACAATCGCATAAAATTCTGTCATAATAAACTGGTGTTGAATTTATCTACAAAAACTTAACCACACTTAAATTTCTCCCCCTCTCACTGAAATCTGAAGTAGCACCCTATCTCAAAGTCTGAGGATCTCCCTGACACTTTCCTCAGCCACTGTAAAGTAGGATTCCTGTCAGTCACCTGATTATTGGTAACCACTCATCTAGTGCCCAGTAGGTAGATGCTCAACCATATCCCAGAAGCACCACTAGATATGCACTCACCTCTGATGGGCTCACCAGACTTTGAAGCTGTGAAAGACATTTCTGGAAAAGAAGTCAACCCTAAGGTCGGCTGGGATCCAGGGAAATTTTTCAGACCTGAGAGATAAAAGATAAAGTGTAATGATGAAGACCTTATCATCACATCCGCTGGTAGCCATTCACAGCACCATGACTAATCAGACACTACTTCCAGCACATGGTGCCAACATTTTTGTGGCCAAGGTTTGAGGTGAATAAGGGGCCTCCATCTCAACAGTTGTCAAGCAACCACCACCCAAGACACAACAATAGGAATGACTTGCCAACATACCCACATATCACCATCATTATAAAGTTAACCCTACAACAGATTCCAATGCTGAAGAGACATTGCCAAAAGTTAGCTGTAAAATAGATGGAGCTCTTAAGTTCTATATAAATGAAAGGAGGACCAGTTACTTGGAGGGATACTTTACCATACTGACTGGAAGAAAGGCCTGTGCTGTCATCCATGCCACTACTATGGCCAGTTGACAGTCAACTGCTGCTTTAGAGGGTTTGCTGATGAGGTTGAGGTAAAGGAATTGGATCTTGTGCCTGCCGTTAGATAAATATGTGTGTTTTGTATATATTCTTTACTTTGTGTATGTAAGTGCATATATTGTATGTTATAGTTCCAATACGATTCTTTACCTCACATAATAGGTTTCCTCTATATGCACAAGTTTCGCTCGCCACTAGTCTTGATGCTTCCACCTAATCTCACGTGATTACACGTCCTATAGTTGTGCTATAGCATGCAAATGAGCATGTGACAACTCTCCACCAATAGGAATGCAGCACACCCTTCTAGCTCAGCTGACTCCCTTTATACTTTAGAGCACTATAATCACTTCTCGATTTAGCACTCGGGTGTAAAGACGTGTATTTTTCGTTCATGAGCTTTTCAGATTTAAGCATTTTTTGGTGGGAGTATTTACAAATACATTGTTTCCCAGAGGTTGATAAATTCTACTTTTTCTGATGTGAAACAACACATATTTGTTCATGATAGCCTACTAACTACATTGGTGTTGAGTTTGTCTTTGACTGTTAGGAGAGATGACGGCTTTTGTGCTGCGGTTGGTGGATTATTTCATGCAACCTGAATCTTTTTTTGTCCTTGACATACCTCCGCCTATGTTACTCGTTCGTGATTGAAGGGATTTTGCCGATTTTTTTCCTACCTACATTTGCCTCATATCATAACCATATTGTCTTGATTATACCCCAGACTTTTATTTCGTGATTTTGTGACTAGGTTTCTTAGGTATTGTTGCATCACCGAGGTCACGTGACTAGTGTCACGCCCCCCTGGTTTTTGGAAATATCTTGTACCTTCGTGAATTGTCGAGAGATTACTAGATATATGGT